ATTTTTTCCCCCCTGGTGAATGGATAGGGATATTTAGGCCAATTGCAATGGAGGAGTTTAGGTTACTATGCAAAGCAGTATTTATTAATAACATTTACATATTGAAATAAAAAGTGTGATGCAATTAAAATTGCCTGCACTGAGGATTAGCCTGATCTCTGAGGGGAGAAACATTCCAAGACTGCGGACCCGTGCACACACACACACACACAAGTGGCAAAATCTTTCTGTGTGTAGAGGGCCCTTTTCTTAAACCCTTCTTCTTTTCCAAAGAGGCGAGTCAGTGAAGTAGAGAAGTAGTGACAAAGTATTTCTGCAATGTGTGATGAAGCAAGTGAGTATAAAGGTTTTGTAAACTCATTGCAAGGTATAGAAAATCAATGTGCCTACTCTATTGTATTACACAGAGGTATTTCAGTGAATGCCCTGGCCAACAAAGTACACTAGAAGTGCCAAATACATTTAGAAATAATGTACTCTTGCTCTTAGGGTCGTTGGAATTCAGGTTGCACAACATTGAATACTGTAGATGGCATTTGGCTATTCCAGTGGAGGATCCTAGTTTCTTGTTTAAAAAAAAATCCTTTTCTGGTGTTTACATCTTGAGTGTTGATTCAGTTTGGATTATATTTCTTTCATGATAAAGTATGTATAAACATTTTTAAAAGGTGTGGCACAGTCAAGTATTTTCATTATTTGTGTGATAGGTTTGAACATCTATTCCAAAGTATCAGTAGGCACCTGCAGAAGCAAAAGTGGGTTTGTAGCACCTGAACACATTCCGATTCGTGCAATTAAAGCAGTTTACAGAGCAAGGAAGAAAAGAATATCACATACTGAGGTTTGATGTCTTTTTCACAGAGTACAAAAGAGTTTTGATTCTTTCACTTCAAGTTTAGCCTAACTATTGTGTACGGGAGGAGGTTTAATGAATCATTGTTTAACTTTGATACTGCCAAGTATTTGACCATTAAATAGTCTGAAATGTGTACATAGCACTTTGGTGACAGACCCTTATTTAACAGTGATTAATTGGCATTGAATAGTTATTTAATTACTTCGGAAGAAATCTAACAACAGTGTGTGTTCTGATTAAGTTATTTGATGTAAAAACAAACATAAGACTGCTGAAGAGAGCACGTCCCGTTTTGCAGCTTGCTACTCACACTACACACTGCATGGAAGCCTGAGTGATTGAAGTAGCAGATACTATTCACCAGTTTGGATGCTGTTGTAACATTGGCATACTTAAGCCTTGATTTCTTAAAAGACTTTTTTTCTTTGTGGTTTGGTGAAATTTGACTTAGAAGTTTTAGATGTAGTATTTTCTTTTTGCTTTTGTAGCCCCTCACTGGGATAAGTAAAGGATGTAGGTATTAAAGGAGCTTAAATTTTTTTGTGAATTGGATATACTAGACTGATCTAAGAATTATTGTTTCTTGGCATGTATATCTCAGAGATGCTTACTTAAGGAGTTTGGGGTTTTTTGGAAATATGAACTATGGTGTCAAGTTTATGTTGATAGTCTGTAAGATTAGGAGAGAAGAATTTAGAGGTTTTGGAGAGAAAACAATTTTCGGGGTGTGGGGGCAGGTAAGTTGTGCAGCTCCTGCCCTTCTTGAATAGCAGGTGCAACAGTTTCCATAGTCTGAAGAAGCATTCTCAAAAGTTAAGTTTGCACATTCTGGAAGAATCTGTAGTCATAACTGTAAGCATTTTGAGTCCTGACTCCAAATAGGTACTTTAACTTTTAAATCTGGAATGTTTTCTCTAGCATGCTTAATTATGCATAAGCAAGTCACTGATTTACTGTGCTTCCAGTAAGTGGGAATAGTTGTTTCTTCATACCTTGTGAAATAGACCTCTTGTACTAGTAGACGTCCTTATAAATGAAGCAATTGCTTTGAATGCAATGCTGTAATGGCTGTGGGGCAGCTTGTGGATAATTCCAAAGCATAACACTTCTGCTTGAAGGTGCATTGCTGTCCCTGCCACATGGTGAAGGAACTTGCTCTAGTGAGTTACTGCACCTTCCTTCTGTGTAGGACATGCTGTATAAAATGCAAGTTCAGTTACATCCGTGTGAACAGGATCTGAAGTGCATCTCCAGACTTGTATTTTCTCTTCTTCTGTCTCTGAGGTAGTAGAATTGAAAAACAGCAGTGACAAAAATAAAGCTAAGGCTTGTGGGTTTGTCACTTGCCTTTAGCTGTAGAAAAGCATTAATGGTCACCAGATAAACAGTACAGGAGGGAAATACTGACCTCTTAGCAATACGCAAAATATTTTCCTGGTCCTTAATGACTTCACGTGTCATTTTCCAGAATTTCTATAGGCAGACACTAAATAGACTAATTTTTCAGTAATTAGAGAATTCAAAAACAGTGAAGCTCTGCTGTCAGAGATTCACTTTAATGTTTATTTGGGAAGCAACTGATTCATGTTGCCAATGTTTAATTGTTGTATTAGGTGGACTGTGAAAGGTTCCAGTTTTCAAGGTTTGTCTTTTTCATATACCATTTCTTTTGCTCACTCAAATTTTAGTCAGTGTCATTTTACAGAATTGCTGTATTTACATTTTAAAGAGGATTAGACAGATTAAAAGATGTTTTCATGTTTTATTGATAACATCAGATTAATTTCCACTTTCCTAGTGGCAGCTCACAGAACTGTCAAAACAGAGGCTGTAGAAACATTGTTATACTTAACAATTCCATAAGGCAGATGCAAAAAAATGCAGTTTTGGCAATTAGCAGCGTGATTACCTCTGGGAACTGGAGTGGTTGGTGATAACATGGAAGAGCAAGTGAAAGCAGGGATTGCTGGGGACAGCCTGGCTGAGCTGAGTTTTCTGTCATGACCACGTTGCTCAGAGAACTTCACAGGAAGAGGAGGAGAGCCACAGTCACTCTAAATGTGCAGGCATTGCTCCATGGCTGGAGATGCCTGCAAGGGGCTGACCTTGCTGTGGCCGTGGAGAGGAGCCAGCCTGAGTGACCCTGCTGCCTCCTGGCAGTGACACCTGGGGTGGCCTTTGTGCAATGGCTTCTTATATAAGTCTGAAACCACTACAAGTAAAACTTACTTGGGGTTTAAAGGCAAAAAGGTGATTCTTAGGCTGAATTAAGGTGTGGTTTGCTTGCTATGGGACTAATCCTTTGCCCTTGTGTGCAGCTCCTCATTGGTGGGTCTCACAGCTTTTCATGGAGGGGCTTAGCACTGTCACCTCTCCTTGCTGTGCTCCTTGCTCTGTAAAATAAAGTGAAGTCACTCAGAAGACAAGTGACAAAGCTGTGAACAGATTTCTAATGCCCTGAGCCCAATCTGTTATTCCACCTAGTTTTCCTTATCTGCCCTTCCTGGACATGCAGCTAAGGAAGCCTCTATCAACGGGAAGCATTTAACCTCTTCAAATGATTTTCTTTTTGCCAGTGAAGACTTGGTTCATTTGAAAATAACCTAGAATGTGATATTTAAGGATATTAAGAAGCCTTAGTGACAGCGTGCATGCAGCATGTGCTTGATCACTCTTCTGTGACCAGTCTCCATGAAAGAAAATCATGCAAAAAGAAAGTTTTTTTTTTTTTAGTTGCCTTGGATTTTCTTCTGATGTATCTACCCTGATACAAATAAAAGGGAACATCCCCACATGCTATTCCTAGTAGAAAAAGATGAAAGAGATTTTTCTGAGTCTTGTGCTGCTGTACACCCTTCCTCTCTGTGTGCAAAGCCTAAAAACAGGATGAATTCAGCTGTTGGCTGCCTGAAGTAACTGCCTTGGGTAGAGAAGTATTGCAGAACAAGCTCTTTGCCACCAGTGTCTCTCTTCAGAGTCATGTCCCAGACCTGAGGAGAGGATGTTTTCTGTATTGTTTGGTGTGGAACAGAAATTCCCTTAAAAAAGAAATGAATGAAAAAGAGCTGTGAGCAGAGAACTAGCATGATGGTTGCTACAGAAGTTCCTTCAGTATCTCTTATCTCTAAATTACGTTGCCAGGGCACTGTGTGGAAACTTTAAACTTGCTTTCAGTTTAATGAGCTCCTTTGAAAGGAGAAAAAAAAAGTCTTTTGTTGCCAGTGCAGTGAATATGTTTGTACCAGTTAAAAGTATAATTGAATCAAGATATATGCAGATAACAAAGCAATGTGAATGCATGTATGGGCATCACACACCTTAGAAATAGCCAGATTCCCACCCCTGGTTTCGTTTCTTTCCTGGTGAGTAGAGATACTGATTAATAGAGAAAGATACTAATCCACTTATGGGTGGCAGCTCTGTGACTTTAATTATGAAAGAAGTCTTGATATAACTGACTTTTTTCAGTCAAGTAGAACTTGGGAAAATAGAGAAATGTAAATGCTTCACTGACAGCAGATTAAAAATCGTTTTATTAGCTTTAATAAAGATCAGTATTGTCAAGGTTTTCAATAAGTATAAATGTAAGGCTGCATGAGTGCAAATCTATCTCAGATTTTATTTTAGAAACGCCTGCAATTTGAATCCATGTATAATGCTGAGGGGTGAGAACAGAAATGCTAAAAAAGATCAGTTAGATCAGCTATGATCTATCTGAGACATGCATGCACTAGTGAGTTTCAGTCAAGGATAGAAGCAGATTCCAGCTGTTGCTTGATGAAACTTGCATTAAGTTGTCTGACCTGTAAACCTTTACCTGCCTGTGTTAAGCATATAAAGCATGTGTGTTTCACCTGTTAAATTTTGTTGAAGTATTATCTTCAAAGCCCATTTATTTTTTTTTCTATCTGTTTAAGTGAAGATTTTATATTTGGGTAGAAGGCATTTGTAAAAAAATTCTTCTTCTTCAAAATATATTGCAGTGGTTTTAGGAGACTCCCTTCATGGGGGTTTCCAAAATTGTCTTTTTATTTTTGAAGTCCAGCTGTTTCCTTTTAATTGTTTTTGAAGTGGTAAAACATGGATCTTTTCAGGAATTATATTTACTTCCCTTTTGTTTTTCTTCTCAACCCTGTTTCTATAGGAAGAATCTTAAATCGTTTCTCCAAAGATATTGGCCACTTGGATGACTTGCTTCCATTGACCTTCTTGGACTTTGTGCAGGTAATTCAGTTGCTGCTGTCAGAGACTTCTGCACTGCATTCTGCATTTAGATTCCTGTATGCTTTGCTGAAGATCAGCTATTTGTCACAGATGTAGCTGAGTCGAAGGAAAGTACTTGTTTGTGAAAGAAAGGTGCGGTTGAAATTTAACGTGTCAGTAAAAAGCTAACATGAGTAATAACTGCTAGGTAGGAGTGGCTATACACAGCTTGCTATTATGTCAAGATTTCAGCTCATAGCAGCTACATGCTTGGTAAATTGCTCCTGATTTGCCTCCAAGCAATCTGGCAAGCTTATTGCTGTTATAAGAAATATGTCCATAGTAAAGAAACAATCAGCTCACATGAAAAGATAGCACAGATTAACCTAATTACATGTCTACTTCCACAAAGAATCAAATGCTTACCACACCATTTCGGATTAAAATAGGTGTGGCTATTTACAAAGAAAAGATTAGTAGTAATAGGGTGAATATAATAGCCTTAATAGGAACAAGTGAAATAAGTTGCTGCAGAAAAGAAAGATGGACAAAGCACTGAGATTTTGATAATGATGAAATGATAAAGGATTATACATGACATCAAGGTAATTTTTTCTGTTGCAGTTGCTATTAATCTTTCTCGTAAAAAATTGCAGGAGGATAAATCTGAAAAAGAGCGATCGTACTGTATGAAAATAACATGAATCACAGAATACACAGAATTGTGGAGGCTAGATAAAAAAAGACTTAGTGGATTATCTGGATCCACTTAGTGGATCACACCTGTCATGCTGAGGTCAGGAATGTTTCTTAAGGTGCTATTGCTAGCTTTGCTTCGTCTCTTAAAGATAACTTATTCAGGATATAAACCCTGTTTTGACTTATTTAAAAATTAACCAAAGACATTTCAGGTTGAACAGTTTAATCATATTGTTCTTGTTGAACTCTTGAAAATAGGAAAAAAAAATTATTCCGAGGAGTAGAAACACCTACTAAGATAAAGTGTTTTTTGTAGTTTAGTGAAGTAGCTGAAATTGAGGTGTATGTTTTATTTTTCAGATTTTTACAGTGCCACTTTAAAGTGTTATTTTGGGGAAGAAAGGAACTGTGGTGTATTTTACCTATCAATTACAGTAATTGGGGTTTTTTTGTGAGTTAGGGAGTTGCTTACATTGAATATTAGGATTTTTAATTCATGGCCTCTTAATTTAATTTTAATTAATTTAAATTCTTCTTGAAAGTGCAATGTGTTTTTGTCTATAAAAACAATTAATTTTTTGCTGTTTGTACAGATTCTAGGTCTTCTTCATTCTCATTAACTGTCCTATTAGACAGAATATCTTTATTTCAGCTGGCTTGAAACTATACGTATGTGTCTTTCTTTTTGACTGGAAGTTCAGTTTGTCCTGCAGTCCTTATCCTCTTCTCTTAGCGTACGGTTTGCATCCACAAAGTCAAACCCATCTGTCCTGCCCAGTGTGCTGCTTGTCCATTGGGCCAGAGGGGTTTATATGTGCATCAGTGTGTCCCCTTTACAGCAGACTGCACTGTGTGTGTGTTCACACTGTGTGCTGCTCATGGCCAGAGCATCCTCTGGGTCCTGTGATCCTGAGATAAAATGATTAACCATTTTCTTTAGTTGTGTGCATTTACAATAATGATGTGAGGGTTGTGTTGCAAGACAACATGGTGGTTTTATAGCAAGAAACTGAGTGGGTGTTTTGCGCGCCCTGGCATGTGGTTTAAAGGCATGTGGGGTTGTCTGAGGATGCGGAATTTGCTGGGAAAATGTTACAGAAGTCTGCAAAAGCAGAGGGAGCCACAATTGGTGTGATCTTGTCCATACTTCCTTTTGGGAGCAGACCCTGAAGCAAACTGTCTTGAGAATTGCAGTGTCTTACTTTTGACAGAACTAACTGATCTGCTTCAAAAGAAGGCTGAGAGAGTGTCTACGCTGTGTGCATGGCACATGGTACAGAGTGTACAGAGAGAAACATCTACCAGCACATTGGAAAACCTAGTCAGTGACCAGTGTATAGATCCTTCAGGCAGTGTGTGCTTTCCAAAACTGAACTGGTCTGGAATGAAAGAGCGAAGACTGCTTCCCTAGATGTAATTGTTTTCTTCTTTCAAGCTCCTACTGTAAACTACATTTGGTAAACATTTTCCTTCATCTTGATTAATTTATATGGGTTTTTTTTTTTTTTAATTGGCTATTGAATTATTTTTCAAATTCTGGAGTTTGTTTTTTTAAGTGAAAAGTTTCTGCTTTCCAAAAAACAAAGTAGATTTTACAAGTCCAGTAGAGTATTAAAAAGACACTGTGGTTCAAAGCTTGCCTTCTCTATTTGGCATCAGAAAAGAAAATTTAGGATCTTAGTGTTGATTAATAATGCACTGCTATCCATAAGAAAAAACCACTTTCTTCTTGGCAGGTTTTCTAAAACTTACTCTTCTTGATCAGCAGGCTTCTTGCTTAGTGGTTGCTTTTGAAATTCAAGAGCAAATATGTATTTATTTCTGATGAAGCAGAGATTTTTACAAAAGATAAATGCTATCAATAATGATAGAGATCTTTTGTCACTTGTTTTGTTTGCAGGTGTCTTTTATAACACTTCTTATAATCCCTTCAGGAAGAAATATTTTCTCCTTTCTAAAAACAGTATTAGCTGCATATAAAAGCCCTGATCCCAGCCATTATTGTTGATTCTTTGAGAGACATTTCCCAACATTCATTGTTTAAATGGTTGTCAGGAGGAATCAAGTGAAACTTAATAAACAATGCAGTAACTGGTTCATCTTACTTTGTGTGTAGAAGCTTTTCTTGAGCGGATTTGCATTGAAGAAGTGGTCGTTTTTCAGAGTTATTGCTGGGATCATTGTGGAGCATTCCACCCTTTTACTGTATTGGCAAGTGAGTGTGTAATTTCAGCACAAATAAATACAATGTGATTGGACACTCAAAAGCTACAGCATGAGCCAGTTTAAATACTGATAAATAAACAATTAAATGCCACTTTCTAGTTTCAATGTTTTTGTCATTACACAAAATACAGATGTTTAAGCAATGGTAAAAATTGATAATATTCTTTTTGGAGTAGGTAATAAGATTTATACACTGCACTACAGCCATAATGAGCATTATTAGTCTAGACAGCTGAACTGGATGGAAATTAATTCTTTGAACAGAAAGAATTTAATTTTTTACATCTTCCATTGAGTTAAGTAGAATAAAGACTCTCTTGAAGACAGTGGATAGTCTCTGTACACTTTGTGGTTAATGCAAAGTTGAAAGGTATGTGGCAAGCACAAAAATGCATCATGAACCTTGTGTTTTCTTTTGAAAATCTGATTAGATTTTACAAAGCCATATCTTTGCAATATCTCCCAAAGTAGCTACTCACATTGCATTTAAAGTTTTCTGCCATATTTTCATCGTTTGGTTTGAAGTGCACCAAAGACACTTGTCTTGAGAGGTTGAAGGGAAGAGAAGCAGTCTTCACTGGAAGGCAATAATTTTTTTCTTCTTATGAATTTTAACAACATATGAGGCATCTCATGTTAGTGCAGCTGACTGTGTTTTGTGGAAATCACTGCTGTATCCACAAGGTTTATGAATTAAAAATAAGTCTCTTTTATGAGAACATGTTTACAGCTATGTTTGACTACATGGCTGGAACAGAACACTGTGGGTAGATGTGAATTAGAAAAATGGAGAAGAAACCAGAGGTTAAGTTAGGTGTTTCAGCTAAAATATCTTTAATGGTACAGTCAGAGTCCAGGCTGAAGCTCATTTAAGTAAAAAAAAAAATCTGCAGTCTAAGCCTGAATCTTACCCTCTGTAATGAATTCTGGATGAACATAAGGTTCTGTACCAATTCTCCTAAAAAAGTAAACTAGAAAGCAATGCTATGTTCAGTATGACACTTGTTATTTCTACTAAATATGGCATTAAATTTGTTCGTAAAATCAAGTAGTAATCAATGTTTGTAGGTTGACTAAGATAGTCAAAAAGCTGAATTAACTTGTTTGGTGAAGATGGTGGGGTTTTGTCTTTTTTTTTGGTGAGCTTACATATTTTTAATTATTGTTATCCTCTTTAGCCTCTGTCTGCATCTCGTTCTCTGAACGAGAGAATCTCTCGTTTCTTAACTGGAGTTACGTGGTTTTGGCAGCTCCTCTCCAGCTAAGTTATCTCATCAGGTAAAGGACAACTTGTGTGAAGGTCATTACAGTGCTTTAAAACTTTCTAAGAGGATTGAAACTCCTACTTTATTTAGATATAAATGTTCTGCCTTAACCTCTGTGTGAGTGTGAGGTTCTGTGGATGTGGACTCCACTGGTAGGTGCGGGGTCTGTAGTGTAAAATCGTAGGCTCACAGGATGCTTTGGGTTGGAGAGGAGCTCAAAGACCATCCAGTTCCAAACCCCCTGCCAGGGACAGGGACACCTTTTACTAGAGCAGACTGCTCAAAGCCTCATCCAACCTGGCCTTGAACACTTCCAAGGATGGGGCATCCACAGCTTCTCTGGGCAACGTTTAGCTCAATGCAGCACTAATAAAACACAATGCACTAATTGGGGAAAAAGTCAGCCAAGAAATAGAATACAATTTTGAGGAGGTATTAGGAATTGAAATTACTGAGGGGGTATTAGGAGTTAAGAATCCAATATATTTAATAGTGGTTTATGCACATTAGCCCAGATATTCCTAAGTGGCCAATATTTTGGATGCTGTCGTTTTGAGACCTCATCAAAGGCTGAATCATATTCTGGCTCAAGATAGATCTGCAGAGGCTTAACATCTTTAAACTCTGATCTCAGACTTTGCCAGATGAGTACCCAAACTGATAAACTACTGCTTGGAAATTATGTCTGTAAACTGATTGAGTACATAGGACAGTGAAATATATTTTGGACTTCCTGTTGGTTTTGTAAATTATTCTGGTAAATTTTAAAGGGATGATTTTCTCTGTAGTTTCTTGCCCTTGTAATTTTTCAGTGATCTTATTACTTGTTAA